ATAATCTATTAATCTATTAAAGCATTAAAAATTATAATAAAAAATAATAATAATAGTAATAAACCATTTCGCCCACGTAAATAAATATTGCATTTTTCATCATGGACCCATTTGAAGTGAGATTAGAATTTATAAGTCATCTAAAAAGTCTTAATGCATCGCAACCTTACATCAAAAAGTGTGTAAAATATGCAATTCAAAATAAAGGATGTTATGAAGATTTATACAGATGTATATTGGAAGTTATGGACCAATCAACCATCCTACCAAGATTGAATTTACTTTATTTCATTGATGCTTTACTCGAGAGTTCAAAATCTATAAATTTCAAAGGATACATTGAACTTATTAAACAAGATTTAAATAAATTAATTCTGGATGTTACAAGTGGTCCAAATGGGATCATTAATGTTAGTAACACTAGAAGAATCTTATTGAGTTGGAAGAAAAAAAGATATTTTGACAAGAAAGTGCTGGATGAGGCAGAAAAATTATTATTGGAACAAAAAAATTGGTTTAATAAAAGAATTTTTATTAACATTAAACATAATGATAACCAAGATAATAATAGAAATGAAAATGATAACAATCCTGGAGATGGTGGCAATAATAAATATGTTGATGGTGGTATTGATGATAATCAAAACTCCAACAATAATAATAATGATGGTGGTGATAATGAAACCAATATCAATAATAATAAAGATGGTGATGATAATAATAATAGTCAAAAACAACAATTACAAATACAAGTGGTATATTTAGAGATGGGACATGAAATTTCAAATTTCATGCGCATTTTATGTATTGCATTTTTTTTATAAATTGTTTTGAGAGTAAAGCATAAATATACATTTGTGGAAATTGTTGTTATAATTTAGGTATAAATAAATTGGAAGAAATTGTATAACACTGTTGGCATTTAAATAAATAAAATATTGAGATTCACTGTGAGATGTGGATTCAATCTCACAATACTTATTAAAACAATGAAGATTGTATTAAAAATCAAATGACTGGCATTACATTAAGAAAAAATTGAATTAATCATGTTTATTAATATTAAGCAAGCTATGCATTTAAACAATATATATGAATTGATTTATGAACTGCTAATTCAGATATCTTTTCTGTGA